TTTATGTAGATTAACTAAAACAGTCGCGACTTGTGAGGAAAGAATGACGGAGCTCGGCTGAGCCGCCACACCAAAGACCGAAAACGCTCTAGTAAGCCATATCCCCTTCTCGTTCACTCCGTTTTCCCGTCCTTTAACCATATAACTTGTTTTTTATGCAAGGTGATTGAAAAAGCCACGAATCGCAAGGAAAGAATGGTGGAGCTTGGCTGAGCCGTTGCACCGGAGATCGAAAAATGCTAGTAAGCCTCAGTTTTTTCCCTTGTTTTGCTGATAGACACCTCTTAATCGTGAATTAAATAGGTTTCTATTGAGAACCGGCCAAAAATAGCCTGACTGAGAGGAGGAGCTATTAGAGAAGGAGGAACCGACGTAGAGAACGACGATGTCACCGTGCCAGAACCCAAACCCAACCCCTAGTGAGATTTTTTGTCCTTTTGGTCACTTTTTGCGTATTTTCACGCTATTTTTGACGTACATTTCAATTTTAGTAGAAAAATTCAAGAAATCTAAGAACTAAAAATTGTTGAAAAGTGTAGTGAAAAAGGTGATGTTCTAGATACCCAGTATAAGAATCCCTCACCCATTTTCCCCGTTATGGTAAAATTGAAGTTAAACTAATAAATGAATAGAAATTTCAGTTAATTTACAGTCCTCTAATTAATTAAAGTACAAGTTACCAATGAAGTAAGTAACTAGTCAGTTTATGTCTGTTTGAGTTTTAATCGTAGTAATTATTCCTACGGTTGTTTATTATGTTATTCTATTCATTGTATTGATTAATTTGATGTATTTATTCTAAATTCTACGGCGAACATCGCAAGGCCTCTTTATATATGTTGTCATGTCATTCAATTATGTGTTTAATACTTTTCTATTAGTATAATAAATGCTTATTTTACGTACTTATCCTAAAATGTGTATATATTACTCATATGTTATTGGGATATAGATATACGTGTCTCTTAAGGCTAAATAGTAAATAAAAGAAAAGATATGCATGAATTAATGGTGTTTAATAAAAAGACTTACCATGTGTCTTGAAAAAGAGTGTACGGACTTGGCGCATAGGGTAAACCTTACTATAGACGTTACCCTCAGTCGAACAGGGTTGAGAAGTCCCATTCCGGTTGATAATTATTTTAATTATGTTCGTACCATTGAGACGGTTGTGTGTTTTGGCATCCATTATCGGACGGGGTATGGGATGACTGTTTGATTATAGAATGAATGCTCATGTTCATGTGTAGTGGGGACCCCTATGGACCCCCAACGGCACCAATGGATAAGGTAAAATGATAAAAATAAATGTGGTGAGAATCTAGTTTTAGGAAATAATGAAAGGTTTATTGCTATA